TTGAACTGAATTTACTTTTTGTTTAAGTAGGGGCCTGCCGTTGCCTTACCGTTAGGGGACTAGTAGAGGGGGTGGATGGGGTAAATGCTCCACCTCAGCTTTCCCTGCATAGCTGTTACACAGATAACATCCTGACCTCACCAGTTGGCTACTGTTGCTTGCCACTCCTGTTAGACTTGTGCTGGGCTGAGGGTCTCTCATTCTGCCTCTGCTCCCATCTTAGGGAGGGTGCCTAGGCCTCAGGGCTAGGTCTCTCTCAGCATTTCTGTCCCTTCTACCACGGCAGTCAACCGCTGCTTTATATCTGTGGTTGTAGATTTCAAGGCTCTTCTTTGTACTGCCAAATTGCATCCCAGAAAGCACATACAAACTTACATTTCACCAATGGCAATTGAGGGTTCTACTAAATAAGACTTTCAGTCTCAAACATCACTGGGCTCTTTTGATATGTGGGATTCCATAATTCTGTTGCTCACTTATATGATGCGACACTGGGTCTTGTGCCTAGTAGTCCATAAACCACTTTTCAATTAACTGAGGATTCAGTTTACATATCCTGTTGAGTAGCTTAGAGGTGCCATTGTCATTTAGATTTGCTCTTCATCGACAGAAACAGTCACCATCCCACTCAAGAATTCAGAAAAATTTCATCCTGAAGCTCCATTTGACAGAGATGAGAAGCAATAGTTTCAGCCTGAAGCATTATGAACTCTGAATGAAAATACCATTACCTGTAGGCTGGAACTGAATTCTGATCCTGATTCTGCCTCCAATTAGCTGTCTCCTAAATACACAAATTACTGACCAGTTCTGTTCCTCAGTTTATGTATCTGTCAAGTAAGGTTAATGGTATTTATTTCACTTCAGTAGTTTTCTGTGAAGATAAATGAAATATGAAATTAGATCATGTAAAGCCCTTTGCAGCACTTTTTAAGTGCTACAGAAACGTGAAATGTTCCTCTAAGAAGGGGCAAAGAGGCGCAGAAAATTATGGGAGTTAGAAATTCAAGATACTTTTTGACATCTACACATCCTCCATGTGAGAGAGCATGTGAGAAAATGAATATTTAAGAATACAAGAAGAGAACGAAACTAGAAATAGAGTTCCTTCTCTCACTAAAATTAGCCTACTTGTGGTAAAAGTTAAGTCCTGCTCAACCAGGCAAGGGCACATCTTTAAGGGGAAATAGCACTTAAACCTTGAGTCTCACTGGGAAGTGATGAGTTTGTGTCTTATCTCAAGCTGTACTCGGTAAGCCTCCTGCTAGACTGCTTTTCATTAGACCTAACCCATCACTCCACCTGCTGTCTCAGCTCTAGAATTTGCCCATTGTGCTGCTTGGGTCATTAGAGTGTCAGACACTTACACTCAGACAAAAGAGACAAGCAAGACAATTAACAAGTCATAAGGAAGTTTATCTCCTTTGCCAGCTTTCGTTCACACCAAAATATGGTCCACATCAAAGAGGACCAAAGCATGCACTATGCAAAACATTGAGTGTTATTTCCTGCACCCTGTTACATACTGTTAAAATCTTCCTTTGTAAGCTGGTAGGTGTAGAGTAGGGGTCAGCAAATTACTAACCCAAACCACCATCTGCTTTTGTAAACAAAATGTTTTTCCCCCCACATACAAATTAGGACTCTATTAACAATATGGTTGACTAAACACAGATGAGCTAGAGACACTACCCAACATCATGGGAAATTGATAGGAAAATCATTCTGGAGCTTAAAAGGACTCTGACGTGGAGATTGGTCATTGTCTTCTGCATTTAAGACCATAAAGTGTTAGAGGGCCACTGATCTTTATTTTTTATATTTTTATTGATTTCAGAGAGAGGAAGGGAGAGGGAGAGAGGTAGAGGGCCACTGATCTTAATATGCACTTTAAAGATTGTCCTCAAAGTGGATTTTGTTTCTGCTTGGTAGCGTACTGCAGCTGTATTTTGCAAAGTTTCATTCTTAGGGCTATTCGGTGAAAGCTTATTTTCATCACCTTTCTTCTTGTGCATAAATACTTTTTGGTAACTATGGCAGACAAAGTAGTGAGCAAGATCACAGCAGAAATGGAGGTGCCCAGGTAGAGCAGCCCCTGGTGCTCATCCATGGCTCAGGTGAGTTTCATTGCATTGCCAAGTGCCACCTGAAAGCTGTGCCACAGTGCTGTTCCCCATCTGCTGAGCGAGAGGTCTGTGGTGAACTGGCCATATGTGTTTCCTGTGGTTGTGATAGGCTGGGTTTCTGTTGTCAGGACCAGAGAAGATGAGTAGTTTATCTCAGATGTTCTCAATGTAGCAGCAGAGGCAGGGACCCCAGGGGATGTGGGAAAGCTGGTGACGGTAAGTGGAGCTGGCTTAATGTTTAATAACATGTTGATTTTCAAATTATTAAACCACCCTGAGTGCTTAACACAGCAGGAATACTTGCCACTTTGGGACTGGGCTGCATTCTTTATGGTTAGACATTCCCTTTCTAAATGATTCCATTTAGCTTATAAGGCTTGTTCCTCCGAATGGTCATTCTGTATCCACTAGTCCAGTGGTCGGCAAACCAGCATGTGGCTCTTTGGCCCCTTGATTGGGGCTCTTCCACAAAATACCACGGCCTGGGCGAGTCTATTTTGAAGAAGTGGCATTAGAAGTTTAAGTTTTAAAAAATTTGGCTCTCACAAGAAATTGCAATCATTGCCCTGTTGATATTTGGCTCTGTTGACTAGTGAGTTTGCCGATCACTGCGTTAGTCCCAATGAGTTGGTTTGAACATGCCCCTCGGCCCCAGCACGTGGTTGTGACTTCATTAGCTGTTGAGTAGGCACTGGACAGTGTGACAGGCTGACCCACCAGGCCACTCACTTGTACCTGAGAGACTACAGCATCTGTCCAAAGCAGTGTGAGGTTGTGAAGGCTGCAGAAGGGTGCATGATGGTATCATCCTATCTCCATGTGTCTCCTCCCTTATGTTTTTAGTGATAGGAATTCTGTCCAGCTAGTCTTGGGTGGTCTCAATGATGGTTAGTCTACAGTTTAATTGTAATTCTGAAGTGCTCCTTAAGTAAAGTTGTATTGGGACACAGCCACTCACTTCAGTGCATATTGTGTATGGCTGCTTTAGTGCTTCAGGGGCAGAGCTGAGTAGCTGCAATGAAGATTGTACGGCATACAAAGCCCAATATGTGCTCTCTGGTGGCCCTTTGTAGAAAAAGTGTGGCTCTCCCTGGTCTGGAGCAATGATATGCGTCCTTTCCACTCCCCACCACGTTACCAAAACTAATTCGTTTTTATTCATGTTTCTTTCTGCTTCTTTCACTTAATGAGTTATTATTGATTTATGTGTTAGCATCTAAGAATAATGGGACGTACAGAGTTCTTCAGATGGGAGAATGTATAATGGCTAAAAGCATTGAATTAAAAAGGTTTATTGAAAATACAAGCCAAAAAGAACATGCTAAATAATACTCCATGAGAATGCAACCAGCCGTGTCCAGAATGAAGGAAACTCTACACAATAAATTAGCTACGTGTCGTTTTGTTTTGTTGTGGCTGTTACAGTAAATATATAGACACAGGGAAAAGAAGGTAGAGGAGGGCACCTCTGGAGATTGAAAGAGACCTAAGGGACACTCCAACCTCGATGTGCATCTTCTAATTTGAACAAACCAGCTGAGATTAATTGGAGATGATGGGAGAATTTAAAGTTTGACAGGGTCTTGATATCAGACTTGAAGTTATTTGTATTTGTTAGTTATAAGGGTATTGTGATTTTTAAGACATTCTTATCTGTTAGAAATAATTAAATTGTAGTCTTTATGGGTGAAATAACAGGGTTCCTAAACTTTTTTTCTTTTATTAAACTCCTTGAGCCAGAAAAAAGTCATGGGGAATACAAAAGAAATAATACTGGCAAAAGAGTAATAATTATTGAAGTGGGGCAATGCTTTTTATGCTTTTCTCTGAAATGTTGTGCCTATTTGAACATTCTCATTATAAAGTACCTTTTTTTTTTTTTAAACTGTGAGTTTAAGCGTCATTTGAATCTGGGTTTTGCTAGCTCTTTCTAGATCTGTAAAATGGGCATTATAATTCAAGTTGCATATGACATTCTGAGGATTATGAGAATTAAATGAGGTAATAAAGAGTTTAGCACAGTGCCTAACACATAGGAAATGATCAATACCTGGTAACTATTATATTGTATCTGCTATCAAACAACAAAAATATAACCCTTTCTGGGCTCAGTTCATGTATCTTGTAATTGACTTTTGTGAATAACAGCTCTTACACCCATCTTGCAGCTACACACGGCTATCAGGAACTGAAATACAGAATGTTTTTCACTGTGTGCTCGTACTTCCTTAGCAGTTCGAAAACAGCCACTGCACCCGTACAAATGCAAAGAGGAAGAACGATGGTTCTGAAATCATGATTGGAATTTCAGATTGTCCTAATATGAGGGCTGTTTCTCCACAGCAGTTTTTGTTTTTTTTTTAAACCATAGTCAGTTTTGTGTGATATTGTTAACAAATGCCTGTGAACCCAGTGTGCATAGGAAGGCCTGTGACTATACAGTTTGTGTTCAGTGGAGCCCAGGAAGGTTGAGGACTGCTACTGCTTTCACCCAACCTGGGCTGACTGAGCTGCTTCCTGGTCAGCCCCTCACTAGCTAACATATATCTCACACACTTGTAGAAAAACGCATTGACTTAAAGGTCCAAGATATCAGATAAAAGATACCTTGGACCCTAAATAAAAGAAAATCATTCTCTCATCCATCAACTACCTCAGGTAAATAAAATATTTGAGCAGGGACTTTTTATGGTGTGGGAAGGTGTCTCCTGAAGACAATTATTATCGGAAAGAAATATTAGAAGCCTACTATTCAACATGTTTTTTATAAAGAGAAAAAGAATGAAGACTGGTTGTGGGCATTTTAGGAAACAATGTTTTGATTCAACTGAAGATACCCGAACTGTGATTTTTTTATTTTCTCTTCTTCCACAGAATGACATCACTCCTTTACACGTTGCATCAAAAAGAGGAAATGCCAACATGGTAAAATTACTGCTTGATCGAGGAGCTAAAATTGATGCCAAAACAAGGGTAAGAGTCAGTTTATGTGCATACTTATCCTTATTTTTGGGAGGGAGGAATATGTCTCCTAATACCTTTGCATTGGTTCAGTATTGGCTTTATGTTTGTTCATTTGTTGTGGTCTCTTGGAAAATGACTGCTAAGTTTTTTCTCCTTGAAATGGCATGATAATCCATATTTATAAATCTTTAATACATATTTAAGTAGTACATGGTTTTAATTACAGAATCTAAGGTCTAAAGCCTAGAGTTTTAGTTGAGTTACATTTTCAAGAATTTAACCACAACTTGACACTCAGGCTTAGCTATTCAGTCAATTTGATGCTAAACCTGATTTAAAAACAAACCTTTGTACCTTTGTGCTCTGCTGATGGGAATGTAAAATGGTCCAGCTGCTATAGAAAACCATATTGAGATTCCTTAAAAAAAAACTAAAAATAGAATTACCCCATGATCCAGTAATTCCACTCCTGGGTACATGCCGAGTGTAATTGATGGTAGAATGGTTGTTGCCTGGGGAACAAGAAAATGGGGAGTTGTTGATCAGTGGTCATATGTTTCAGTTTTGCAAGAAGATAAAGTTCTAGAGACGTTATACAGAAGTGATTGACAATTATATCAAGACATATATATATATATATATATATATATATATATATATATATATTAGACAATGTGACTAAAGCTAACATTACTGAACTGTATACTTAAAAATGGTTAAAGTAAATTTTATATTGTTTTTTACAATTAAATTTAAAAAAAAAAAAAACACACACACTACATATCTATTTAGCTAGGTGCTTGTCAGGTTGCTTTTTTGGTGTGATGGATTGTGAGTAATTCGAATCAAGCTTGAATCCCAGGTTCTGGGTTTAGCTAGTTGACTTAGGTAGGATATTTAACCTTCTGCACGTTATTTCTCCTTGCAAATAAGAACAATTAATGGCATTTTCATAAGATCAAGCTAATGTTTGTAAACTATGTGGTATAAAATCATCCAGAAATAAAACCTAGCCATTGCTAGTATATAATATCTCAGAGCTCTAATTGCATTAAACTTCTAACCAAGGCATTTCATGCATTTGTTACAAGGTGCAAGCAAAAGCCAAGTTAACAAAAGGTGGTCTTGCTATAGACATCCACATAGATAGGAATTTGGGGTAGCTTTCCCTGTCTTGTAATTGTACCTCCCACACCCCTGTACTTCTTCCTTCAAGAATCCTGATCTCCATGTTTCTAAAACTGGCCTGGTAACCCGAATTTGATTGCTGTAGCTCCTAAATGGACTACGTCATATATTAGTCACTACATTTATTTCCTCAACTAGTAAATGATTACTGAGCACCTACCTGGGGCCAGATGTAGGGGTTGATGGAACAAGACCAGATAGTTTCCCTGCCCTCATGGCACTGGTAGGGAGTTCGTCTCGTGTATTCTAATCCTGAGGTAGCCCAGCCAAGGTATTTGGCAGGAGACCCAAACATCTTTTTCTGTTGAACCTGAAAATTGTGGATATATTTTGAAAAATAAGCTTTCCAGAAAGGAGTAAAGAAAGATGAGGGTTTACTTGTCTGACTAGGGAAGTAAATTGAATTTCAATCAAATAAATATTGGTATGTACTAATATAATCTAATGAATAATAAATTATTTAGACTCTACTGATAAGTTAAGGATACACACTGTAATCCTTAACTTGAATAGAGATCTTATTGAACTGACTTGGTGTCACTTAATAAGAAGCAATTGCCAGTAGATAACAAATGCTAGAACCATTGCTTTAAATGCCAGGGGTCTCCTGCTAAGTATGGGCTATTTAAAGAGGCTTAAGAATGAAAGACAGAGGCCTTGCTTATGCCAGTTGAATATCACAGAAGCTAGTGGATCGTTTGTAAAAAGGGAGAATCTTTAAGAAGGGAAGGCAGTCAATGGGAAAGAGAAGCTTGAAGAGACATATCTGGATTTCCAGCTGAGGCTTTAGCAAATGTGTGGATCAGAAATCACTTCATTTCATCCTCTCTTGATACAATCGTCAATCACTTCTCAATCATTTATCTAACAACTTGCTGTTTTAGGTACAAAAAAAGGAGAAAAGGGTACACAGGAAATTCTGGGGCATAAAGATGGGGCATATGGTGTCCTAGGGGAGGGCCAGGATAAAAACACAAAACACTCTTCTGAGAGAAAGTATCAGAGATGAAATAATGTGCACAGGCAAGTGAATGGCACAACCGGGTTCCCATGCCACTTTGCCTCCCGGTTCTGAAAGACTGTCTTCTTTTAAGCAAGATGTAGATTCCTTCCTTTGGGTTTAAACTGGATTTACTTTTCTTCTGTGTTGGGTGACACGTGAGTGTGAGGGAGACTTAGCGAAGCTGAGAACAGAAAAGCCCATCATTCTTCTTTTGCTGTCCTGCGTGGAGTGGGGTGACGGTGGGACCAGGCGCAGACTGAATTCTTGGCAGACTGTATGGGAGAAAGTGTAGTACATACTCAAAATACGTCAACTATTCTGTGGTCTCCTCATCAGAGCTTCCCTTGTCTCTTGCTGAAATAACAGAGTAGCTGGATGTGTGGACTTGAAAGGGAGGGAGGGAGCCAGTTAAAATGTCAGAAAGCCCTGGGGACAAGCCTAAAAACTGACAACAGATTTTCATCAATACGTGTTTTAACAACACAGTCCAGGGGCTTTTGAAAAAATACTGTTATCTACCCAGCTACCTCCTATAAGGTGCATGCTACTGTTGGAGCTACCTTGTTTTTTGTTTTTGTTTTTGTTTTTATTTATTGATTAAGGTATTACATATGTGTCCTTATCCTGCCATTGACACCCCGCCCCTTCCACCTCCCCACCATCGCTCATGCCTCACCCCTCTGGTGTCTTGTGTCCATTGGTTAGGCTTATATACATGCATACAAGTCCTTTGGTTGATCTCTCTCCCTTCCTCCCCATCTTCTCCTACCTTCCCTCTAAGGTTTGATGGTCTGATTGATGCTTCTCTGTCTCTAGATGTGTTTTTGTTCATCAGTTTATGTTGTTCATTATATTTCACAAATGAGTGAGATCATGAGATATTTATATTTCTCCACCCAGTCTAAAGGATCTAATTTCCTTGCTCTGTTCCCTGCATGGGTTGTAGACCTAATAAAGAATTCCATTTAAAGGCAGACCCCTTAGGCCCAGCCTTGTGTAGCTCAGTGGTTGAGAATTAACCTATGAACCAGGAAGTCATGGTTCAATTCCCTGTCAGGGCACATGCCAGGGTTTTGGGCTCAATCCCCAGTGTGGGGCATGCAGGAGGCAGCCAAACAGTTATTCTCTCTCATCGTTGATGTTTTTCTCTCTCTCTTCCTCTCTCTGAAATCAATGGAAATATATATATTTTAAAATAAATAAAAATATCAGTCTGTTAGGTTTATATTTTGGAAATAAAATATTTGATATATATATAGCACACAAAATGAAACTAATAGTGTAATTACAATTATAATATTCCAAAATTCTCATATTATACATGAAGTGGTATAATCTTATTTCAATATAATATATATTATTATATAATAATACAATCTAATGAATAATATATTATTTAGACTCCACTGATAGGATACATGCTATAATCCCTAGGGCAACCACTAAAAAGAGATTTCATTAAAAATTCAAAGTAGAAGATAGCTAGTGGCCTATGATCATGAAATGATTAGAATAATAAATAATGCTCGAACCAAAAGAAGACCAGAAAGGAGGGACAAAAAGCATGAAGAAAATGGGAAAAGACACAACACATAGCATAAGGGTTTATTTTTAGGCTCAGAGAGAAAGCTGTGATTTTCTAAGCAGAAAGAACAACAGGAGGATTTTGCCTTATTTTAGTTTAGTATTAAACATATAGAGTACATGCCAGGATAAAAAAGGAATTAGAAAGACATAGTTCTTTTATATAAAAACAGCCGGAATGAATTTTTTGATGTGAAAAGGAAATTGCTTGGTACTATAGAAGGAATCCGGTCCCTCTGACAGAGGCAAGCCTGAGGTTAAAGTCTATGTCAAGCACTTGCATGTGACCTCGGGTGAGTACATTAATCCTCTGGAGCAGCTTTCTCATCTATAAGTGAATTTCACAGGCCATTCTCTCGAGTTGCAGAGATTCAGTAATAGAGCACCTGTGACAATAGAAGGAATTCAAAACATGTTATTTCACTTCCTCTTAGGCCAAATCCCCAACCGCCCAACATGCACAAAAGGGGGGGGGGGCGGGGGGAGGGGGGTGTACAGTCAGAACTTTTAGTGAAAGATCCAGATGCGAGAATAGCTATTAGATGGCAATTGAGACTCTTAATGTGTTTGGTTGTCATCATTACTCTCTTCTCCAGAGCACTACCTGTTCTTTGTTTTTAGTTTCCAATTAAATATGCCATCCTGTTTTACATCCACAACAGAGAAAAGTGTGTGGCCACAGAGTTCTCTCTGCTTGATTTCCTTTCTCTTCTCCAGAGTGAGTTTTTTGCTTAGAAGAAAGAAAAGAAAGGAAGCGAGAGGCCACAAATCAAAATAAATGTCTCTTTTTGACAGGATCTCCCAGGTCACAGATTTCTGTTATTTCAGTCTGGGCATTGAGCAAATTCAACCCATTATGGACATCTTCCAGCTTGGAGATTCCTAAGTGTGATGCCTTAATGGCCTGCTCTGTGCTTTTCAGAAAAACCAGGTGTGAAAGAATGCTTTTCTGGCCTTCAGATGTGCAACATTTTGCTCAAAAGCTAACAAAAGAGAGCATTTTGGCCAGCCAGGAAAGCGCAGCTCCTCCCCTCACTAATCAGATTGCTGTCACCAAAATGAAATATGAGAGCTGGCCCAGCCAGTTTGCCTGGCCTCAGAATTCTGCCCAGGGAATACGCATTCATTATGTTAGTGCTTTAAAAATCTGGGGAATTGGGGGGGGAAAATTACTAACCCCATGCAATTTCATTTCCCTCCCATAATGTTACTATGGCAACTCCCTTTCTCTCCC